CCCCAAAACCCCAAAACCCCAAAACCCCAAAACCCCAAAACCCCTGACTCTGAAAACATAATTGTTAATTTAAATATGAGCGAACACAGCGGATTTCCAATCTCCCAAGAGGGAGAATTATGAAGCAGTATCCACTTTCTCAAGGATTGAAGGTATGTCTTCTCTAGGTTACAAAGTCTGCCAATTTGCCACCATGCCTCTTTGTGAAATTTTCTCTTCTCTGGCTTCCATTTACTAAAAGAGAAGAAGGCATTTATAACACCCGGCTCAATTAGGAAAAGATTCGTCATGAGTGGCCAGTCCTTTCTTTTAAAATAGCAGAGGGGAAGACTTGAGATAGAGTGACCATCTCGTTAGAATGCAATGAGATTTCATAAACTAGAGAAACGCCACTTGACATTTCCAAACTCCAATCTAGGTTACATTTCCTCTACCTAAAACAGAACTATTTCAGCATAAGAAGGTTGATTTCCCTCTTTTATTTCCACTTGGAATAACTCAAGTGCATTTTTATATTCTTTCAGATTACAGTGCTATTAATTTGTCTAAAATGTTAGAAAATCTGCTCTAAAATAGCCTGTTTAGCCCTAAATCACCGATCCGAGGAGTCTTTATGAACGAAGACGACTCCCAGAATCCCTTCGGGTTCTTGAACAACAGTTCCAAGCAGATTGGCTGTCTCAGCTCAAAGGGACAAGACGAAAAGGGACTTTCAGACTCTGAAAAACTCAAAGAAAACCTAGAATTAGACATTGGAAATGAGGATAACATCGATGAGCACAAGGAGCCCAATGACCCAATCCAGTCTGCTAAGAAGTCAACCAATGTTGACTCTAATCTCCGAAATGAACAGATTTTGGAGGACAAAGAGCTCGACCCGATTGGAAATGAACAGTTTAAGAATTTTGACAAAGAAATGGAGCCTGAGGTCCCTCAAATCAATAGAACCCTTGAAAATGAACATCCAAACCATCTTGATAGCCAAAAAGTGCTAGATTTTGAAGAGAAACACGCTGATCCAAGTCAGGTTAACGCAGAGGCTAAAAGTACTGACCATTCTTATTCCCTTTCTAACTAATTTTAGTCAACAGTGTAACAGAGCCTGAAGCGAATGTTGACAGAACGAATAGAGCCAGTCGGAAGAAAAACCCAAAGGTTTTTGGCGACGAATATGTTACCACGATCAACGGCAGAAGAAGAACACCTCTTCAAAAAGACATCGAAAAGTCAGAGGAAGCAGAGATTCAACCAGTTAAAAAGAAGAAACCAGGAAGGAAGCGGGAAAATAAAATAGAGGTAAGCTCAAAAATGATGAATGCTTAGGCCAAAGCAGAAGTTAAAAAGATAGAATGGACTTACAGTGAGATTAAATAAGACCCTGAACCAAGCCTTGTCATTTGAATGGGATGGCAGAGAGGTCCAACGATACCAGCTTGGTACCAACCTGACAGCTGGAATTTACTGGAGCATAGTCTCTACTCAGTTCTTTCCATTCGAAACCTATAATCTCGTTCATAGCTTCAAAAATTATTATGATGAAGAAGTCAGTCAGAAGTGAATCAACAAAGAGCTCACAGAAAAAGAGCTGTTTTCACTTTACAATCTTGACAAATATGCTGAAAGACTCCAACTTTGCCAGGAGAAAATGAAAACTGACCAACTTCTTGAAAGTTCTGCTAAATCTCCTGCTGAAGAAGGCAAGGATTCTAAAGAAGAGGATAAACACGCAGAAAAGGTTGAGTCTGAAGATAATCCTAATGAGATTGATCAGATGATCAATTTCTGAGAAAAATATCTCAAAAGGGTAAATTCTAAGAACAATTTAATGGCTGAAGAACTCTCTGAACAACTCAGGAACACTTATGACCCAATCAAAAGAAGGGAATTTGAGAATAATATTTTTAAGAAGTGGAGAGAGACAGGAGAAATGCCTGGTGATAACAAACTTTGGAATATCCACAACCTCACTGATTCTGATGATTCTATCTACCACGATGTAGCTGCTTCCTTTCTAGAAGATTGTGATAAGAATCTTGGGAGTTATCTACAAAATACCAAAAATATTCTGATAGATACATGGCATTGTACTGATATGGAGAACGAGTACTTTCATTATGTAGCCTCCAAGCATCAAGAGAAGAACGAGAAGAACTCTCAGAAGTTAATCCAGAGGATCACTGATATCCAGAAGCAACTGCTTGGTGACTCAAATGCAGATAGTAATGCCATGGTTAAAAATCATCCCCTCACTAAGCAACTGATCAACGAAAGGAGACAGAAGGAAGAGGACGCTAAGTGCAATATTTGTGGAAGCGGTGACTACGAAGAGAATGACCTCATCGTCTTTTGAGGCTTCTGAGGTATCGCAGTTCATCAGAACTGATACGGCATGGAAGAAGTTCCAACTGGCGACTGGTTCTGAATTACATGCTTCATGTTTGGCAAATTTAAAGGCAGAAATCTCAAATGTGCCTTATGTCCTAAAAGAGGTGGAGCAATGAAGCCTACTAATATTCATAGAAATGACGAATTCTTTTCCAAGGTAAAATCTGAGTTGAGCAAGGGAACCGAAGTAAACTTGGATAAACTAAAGCCAACTCCTCATTACAAAATTTTCAAAACAGAGAAGAAAAACTCTAACTTGAAGACCGTTCTCAACTATGAGCATAGCTTTGTAGCAGACTGTAAGGAGAAGAATCCTTGTGCGGTAGCAGACGATCCAGATTTAAACAACACATTTTATGATAAAATGGATGAGAATTACAATTACAAGTACGAAAAGCAACATGAGATAGAGACTAAATATGCATGGGCACATTTATCATGTGCTAATTTCATTCATGAGATAGATTATACTCCTAAGTCACCGCTAAGGCTTGGCAAGCTCAATCCAGAACGGTTTATAAAGCCATGCATCATCTGATGCCAGACTGACGGAGCAGCTATAAAATGATCCAACGATGACTGAGACATCTGGATGCATGGTGAATGCTCCAGAAGAGCTGGATATTATCTCGAAACTGCTAAGGAACCTATTAATCCTGACCAAGAGAATATCAAGACTGGCCCCAACTTTGAAGATTTCAAAATATTCTGTGAGAGACATAGACCATTCAAGCTGATCAAGGAAATCCAAGAGCGCCACGACAGTGCTTGCAAAGAGATGAAAACATTCTGAAAATCCGTTCGCAAAGCTCTGGATGCAATAGACAAAATTCCTTATAAATGAAAATCAGTCTCTGAAAACAAGCGCTGGAGAGAGAAGGACAAGAGGATCTTGCTTGATAGAGTCAGAGAGCGCTTCTTTCTCCTCAGAAAGCTGAGGATAAATATAGTAAAGGTTGATCCCACCAAGAAGAGAAAAAGAAAAACCAAAAATAAGCAGAAAATGTAAGTTCATTTCCAGTAACTTCTTTCTTGAAACCATTTAAGGGCAATTCTAACTTATTATAGTCCAAAAAGAAGGAAAATAGGTGAAAATGCAGAATCGAAAGCTACCAATGATGGAATCTCAGTAGATGGCTATTCACTTGCTTCTCTCAACTGTGCTTCTAAGAACATCAAGCAGAAGGATGTGATGTACAAACTAGCGACTCCATGATTTCCACCTGAGCCTGACTGGTCAGTCACTCTCTCCAGGAATGACTTCCCTTGGTACGATGTGAAGTTTGATGATTTCACCGCAAAAGATTGCTTTGAAGTGTACAGAACTCTCATCCCAGATGAGGAAACTTTTAACAGAAAGATCAGAAAGGAGCGCAACGTGATAGTAAACAAACTTATGAAGGAGAACAGGAAGCAGATCAAGAAGGCAAAGCAGCAGGGCTTCAATGCCCAGCCATTGTCTAAGAAGCAACTCAAGAAAAAGGCAGAGCAAATTAAAGAATACAGGAAAGCTCAAATAGAGGAAAGCAATAGAATGGTGCATCTTCAACATAAGATGACAAAGGAAGAGGTTGTAGCCTACAATGCTAAAATTGCTGAAGAAAACTCTATGTACTGATACTGAAGAGGCTCTCAAGGCAAAGACCCAGATGACTTCTACGTTGCTTGTGATGGTGAAAACTGAGCTAATAATGGATGGTATCACTGGAAATGAGTTGAGGAGCTCAAGTATATCTCTAAAGAACAGGTTGAAAATGCAAAAGAATGGTACTGTCCCTCTTGCAAGGAGAAGAAGAAAGTCTCTGAAGAACCAAAGAAGAACGAAGGTAAGTTCCTCTTGGTCATCATAATGCTTACCTATTTATTTATGATGAACTATTTATGGTATCCAAGATTTACTACCTCAGCTCTGGGGAGCCACTAAACGAAGATGAGTATAGATTCTTCCACTAAGATACAAATTTCTCTTGATATTTCTGCTAAGAGAAAAGAAGATGATGCGCCCCTAATTTAAGTAACACTTCTGATTATCGAGGATGCAAGATCTAAGATATGCGACTGGAAGCTGGACCTTGCAAGATCTAACTGCCATCCGAGAAGGCAGCCATAATGGGTCCAATTATCCATAACTGTAGAGCGTACTTTATATTTTGCTAACCTCTTGTGATCAGATTTTGGTTGTTTGCAATATTAATTATTTTGCTCGGGGTTTTGGGGTTTTGGGGTTTTGGGGTTTTGGGGTTTTGGGGTTTTGGGG